GATGTGGAGAAGCTTGAGAGAGTCCAAAGGAGAGCCACATGCATGATCAGAGGTCAGGAAAACAGACTTTATGTTGAGAGGGTGAGAGCTGTGGGACTCTTTAGCCTGGAAAAGCGCAGGGGTGATCTGATGGCTGCCTATAAGTTTATCAGGGGTGACCACCAGGATCTGGGAGAACATCTGTTTACCAGAGCGCCCCAAGGGATGACAAGGGTGAATGGTCACAAACTCCTCCAAGACTGTTTCAGGCTGGATATAAGGAAGAACTTTACTGTCCGAGCCAAGGTCTGGAATAGCCTGCCACCGGAGGCAGTTCAAGCACCTACTTTGAATGCCTTCAAGAGAAATTTGGATGTTTATCTTGCTGGGATCCTATGACCCCTGATGACTTCTTGCCCCTGGGGCAGGGGACTGGACTCAAAGATCTTCCAAGGTCCCTTCCAGCCCTAATGTCTATGAAATCTATGAGGTGCAGAAAGGGATCTTGGAGTTGTAGTCGACTCCAAAATGAACGAGTCACCAATGTGATGAAATAATAAGTTAAGCTAATTGGGCTCTTTCTTCCATAACTAGGTGCATCACAAACAGGTATAGGGAGGTGATACTTCCCCTCTATGTGCCATTGGTCAGGCCACAGTGGAGTGCTGTGTCTGGTTTTGGGTACTGCACTTCAGGAGGGATGTAGGTAAGGCTTCAGAAGAGGGCCACCCATCTGGTTAAAGGCCTACAGAAGAAGACCCTATGAGGACTGATTGAGGGACCTGAACCTCTTCAGCATCTGCAAGAGAAGGCTGAGAGGTGATCTTGTAGCTGTCTACAAACTCATTGGACATCAGGAAAAAATTCTTTACCATGAAGGTTGCCAAAATATGGAATGTGTTTTCAAGGGAGGTGGTGCTGTCCCCTTCCTTGGAGGTATTAAAGAGGAGATTGGACAAACACCTGGCTGGGGTCATCTGACCCCAGCACTCTTTCCTGCCCAGGTCAGGGGGTCGGATTCTATCTAATAGGTCCCTTCCAACCCTGAAATCTGTGAAGTCTATACATATATGTGAAATATTAGTGGTTTGAATTTCTTTGGGGATCTAGAACATATTCTAGCATACCTGCCCTAGCAAACAGCACATCTCTAAACAGCATGTTAGATCCTTTTTCCTGAGACTATTCTCTAATATTCTGTCTTCCTGAGTCTAGGGAGAACAACAATGCTGAAAGGATTTTTAACCTGATGCCAGAGAGAAATGCACACTCCTACTGCACAATGATCAGAGGAATGGTGAAGGTACAGTTACAGTATCCAGAGGAGGGCAGTTTTGGTTTGGCTTCCCCTCCCCTTGTTTCCCTATAGTGATCTCTTAAATACTTCTCTCCTCAGCACGGGGCTCATGAGAAGGCTTTTGACATGTATACAGACTTGCTGAATGAAAGGCACAGGGGTGAGTCTACCTCTGTCATGTTTTTCTGTAAAAGATGGCAGAGTGATGTTGGTCTTTATCTACTGTTACTTTTAATCCAGGCTTCTGGAATATTTTTTTTCATGGCTGTGATGATTGGCGCAGGGGTACGGACCTCAGCTAGATCATGGGAGCTGAATGTGAACTCTGGTCTTTTCATTGTGGCTGACGTGTGGTTGGCTGCCTGGAAACAAGTTCACATGAGAATTCTGCCTGACACTGAGCCATATTAGAATAAGTGGCACTGCTATGTACAGAATATATTCCTCTGTAAAAAATTTAACCATTTCCTCATTAAATGAACTGTCTGAAATTTTCCAGCCGATGTAAACGCCTTCAACGCACTAATCTTAGCAGCCACAAGAATGAGAGAAAAATACTTTGAAAAATGGAGAGTTATTAAGGTAAGGAGATGGAGAATACAAGGCTGCTTTTTTTTTTTTTTGTGGTGTAAACAGAAGTGTTGATTCTGATTAAAGCTAGAAATCAAGACTTTATAACAAGGTCTTAATTTGCTTAATGATCACATAGGCTAAGCAAAGGGGTTAAGAAAGCCCAGGGCAAAATTACTTAAATCTTTGCAGGTTTTTCTAAGCTGCATAGATTGAACCAGTAACAAACTGAACCAATGTTCACTGTCTGGGCGGCCAAGATGGGCAGAAGCCTGCAATGGCTCAGGCCAGGAGCCTGGGGGCGCTCCTAAGGCTGCCAGACCCAGCACTGCAATAGCCCAGGCTTGATTATCTGATGGCTTAACCTTCCACCACTGATTAAGAGATGAGGATGTATGTCTGGCAGCCAGTATCTCCCCAGCTCCTGCTTTGGGTTGGGGGAATGCACACACAAGCAGGCACCGGCTCCTGCAGCTGTGGTCTGGGCAGCATGGGGAAATCCCCCACTGAGGAACCCTGCCCCCCCTTTCCAAGCCCAGAGCTGGGCTGAGATTGCCCCAGCTCCACCCCTTCCTCAGCCTCTGCCTTAGGGGGTGGGAATGCACCCCCCCGCTCACCCAGCTGGGATCTGCTCAGGGTGGTGGTAGGGAGCTCCCCGGGTGTGGGGGGACAGACTTTTTTTCACACCCCTGCACCTGTGAGTCTGGCTTGGATTGTCCCAGCCCTGCCTACTCCTTTGCTATCAGTTTCTGAGGGGTGGGATGGGGGCTGGGACTTGAGGCAGGGGTGAGGCTGTGGGCATCTCATCTTGGCTCCCAGCTGCAAGGGAAGTGGGCACTGGGGAGCAAAGGCTTATTACCAAAGCTCTGAGACAGCTGGGGGCAGGGCCAGCCCTGCTCCACTGGAGCAGATGGCACAGCCCATGGCTGCAAAGCATCTTGGGGCGCTGGGGGACGGACTTAACTTTTATCGGGATGGGTTCTGGGATGGAAGTTCCATAACCCAGTTTGACTTAAACGGTTAAGTCTTGTGAAGAAATCGTCCTTTTCGTCTGCCTCCCTGCTCTGAGTCTGCCCAGCCCCTCTTTCAAACTCTGGCTGCTAGATCCACGTGGTCAAGCTGGGTGACTAGGTTATGAAAATTCCATAGGAAGGGAGGGGGAGCTTGCTTTTCCTTTGTCCTGAGCTTTTCCTGCCAAACAACTTGGTGACCTAGTCTCTCTACCTGAGGATTGGTCTGCCTCCAATACTGCCTGTTTTGGGTTGGGACTTAATGATGAAGTCACAAAAGTTTTAAAAAGGGGTCACTCCATTTTGGGAGGTTAGACATCTTATGGGATACTGAAGCAAGCAAAAAGCCTCCAGAGCTCCATCAGACTGGATGAATTTGGAAGTAACTTACTTGAAATTTAGCCAGTAATTTAGGATGAAGTAATCTAGACGCACATCAAAAGGCCAACAAGCCTATTCTGTTTTGCTCAAGATGTTTTTCTTTTCTTTGGATATTTCTCTGTTTTATATGTTTTACCCAGGCTCTCCCTCTTTGATCAGTAAAGCCATCTGTTATAGCATACCATGCTGTAGATGCTTATGAGGGTGAGACTAGCCTTTAAAGCCCCCTTCGCTCAGCTGCTAATGTGCGTGTGGCTCTTTACTTCTGTACAAAAAGCTACTTGTGAATACTTTATGCTAAAAGAAGCACCCTGAGATACCATGGTGGGCTAAGCACCCCCAAGGTCTGCAGGGTCTGTGTACCCCGGGCTGCACAGAGCCCTAACAAAGACCAGGGCCCAGGTGGTGGTGGTGGTGGCAGTTACCCCAGGCTTGTGGGTGTGTTCCAGGAAGGGGGTTGGTCAGACATTGGTGCCCCAGGGGAGACATCCAAAGCTTGGTTTTTGGTCAGGCATAGTGAGGCAGGTGACTCAGTGCAGGAGCACCCCCTACTGGCCTGCCACAAGTCTCATGCTATATCTATCCAGGCGTATCTTAAATTGCTTTTGGCCATTTCAAAAGCAGTGTATGTGCACTGAACTTCTGTTATGTTACAGGTTTAAACTGGTTTCTGATCACTTAAACTGGTTTATGTATAAATTCTGTCCCTAGCCATAGGAAGTAGTCCCAATTTAAATGCAAACATTTGCTTTTGTGGAAGAGTAGCAAAAAAACAATAGTTTAATATTACTTTGCAAGGGATTGCCCTGCATGGACACGAACAAAAGTTCAGAAGTAGGTGGTTAGCAGAATGGGTATGGAATTGAGCTGGGAAACGAAAGCATTTTTCTTCCCTTTTTATTTATTTAAAGAAATTTGTGTTCATGAAAGTTATGTAGGGAGTTGGGGCAATACAGAAGAGCCTTGACAAGAAAGACCAGAAGGAAAATTGGAAACTTTGCCATTGGTGTCCATTATGTGGGTATATTCACTAAGAAAACATACAGCCGCTCTACGTGTAAATATAGAAAGCCAGCAGTTACCTGCTGGCATTGGAGCAACAGGATAAAAGATGGCAGAAACGCATCTACAGTGATACAGAAATGCTAACTTGTGAGCAGTAAAAGTGTGGTGATCCTGTGAGTTGGGGTGTATTTCTTTGTTTTTGTTCAGGACCTGCTGAATTGCATGGCTCAACAGAATGTGCAACCCAACGTGTTAACGTTCAATAATGTACTGAAAAGTCTGAAATATTGTGGTGGCATAGGAAGGGGTGCTTCCTCACACGTACTGAATGAAATGAAAGCAATTAATATAGGTAAGAGAATCCCAAATCTACTTATTTTTAATGTTACTTCCAAAATAGCTACTTTTGCTTAACATGAAGGGAAGAATAAAAGAAAGCTCAATTCTGATATGTTGTTTTAAGATCTGTAGACAAAAGTGCATGATGGAGGACAGTACCTCCCCTTTTTACAAATGAGGCATGAAGGGCGAAGTGTGTTAGCCAAGGTCACCCAGCAGATCAGTGCTAGAGCACTGAATTTGAACCCTGATATCAGATTCCCAGCCCAGTTTCAATTCCTGTTTCCAAAGGACACTTTAATTGATGCCGTGATAGAAATTAATGCTTCAGAGACTTTATCTATGAACAGACATTGAGCATTTAGAATGGAAACACTGTGTGACTTGTACAAGGTAAACGTTGGTTACATCTGTGCAATATAGTTGGTATAATTATACCATTTAGGCTGAAATTCTTTAGGGAGAGGGAGAACTTCAGACCGTCTCTGTGTGCCTGTATGTACATAAAATACTTAGCATGCTGAGACTTACCTCAGCTGTGGCCTTTGCAATGCTATCATATTTCTTTTCTCTTGGATGCAAGAACATCTTGCATTCAAAAGCTTGTCTAACTCTATCCCAACTATGCAGTTGGTCCAGGAAAAGATACGACCCAAAGAGAACCTTGTCTCTACCATAATGCTAACAATAATTTGGGCGGGGGACGGTTCAGTTACCTTCAGTTAGTATTTCCTGCTGTTCAGGCATCCATTTGTGTTTTTTGTACGTGAATTAATTTATAAAAGTCATTTTTGGTTTCACATGTTAGATGATATCTTGCCAAGTTGCTCCTGTCAAACCAGATACTGCTTTATTGAGATTCACTTACCACCTCAAAAGAGGCTGAGGCAAAAGTTCAAAAAATAATTACATGGCTGATTAGAGGTCTGGGGGGAAATCTGCCTCATATTTTAGACATTTTAGAAGCTGAATCTATTTAACTTACCTGGGAAAATTTTGAGTGGTTTGTTCATGGTCCGCCCATGGGAAAGATTTAAAAAACTACTTAGGAAGTAACTCTTCACTTATACTTTAGAGTTCAGTTGTAAAGCCTTGCCTACCTCTGACTTCTGTGTGTCTGCATTTCAGAACCCAGCCTTGCAACATATAAGCATATCCTTGACATATTTGGTATGTATAATAAATAAGCTTGTACTATGCCTATTGGATATGTGCTCCAAGCACTTCAAGCTATTTACAGTGCTATTTGAAAGAGTATAGTGCTGCCCAATTGCTTTTTAGTGAGAAAATAGCTCTCTAGCAAAAGCTAACCCATTTGGTAGAAAAGGGACAATTCCTTCTGGCTGGAGAATTTCTTTCCCTTTCCCCAAAAGATTCCCTTTCTTTTTCATACAGAATACCACATGTATTTGACTAAGCCAACACAACTTGCTTTTCTGTGGAGTCAGATATGCTGTTTGACAAGGGCTTTCCATTAGCTGTTACATGAATGATTAGAGGTCTAGGGGAAAATCTGTCTTAGAGATTTAAGAAGCTGCATCTATTTGCCTTATCTGAGAAGATGTTGAGGTGGTTTGTTATACACCATGGAGAAACTAGACGGAGGGGATCTGCACCTCCTGGTAGTGTGCTGCTTATGATGCTGTCCTGCAGCATGGCTGGAGAAAGGCCTAGCCAGTGGGATTCGCCACACATGCTGCAGTTGTCGATTCTTGGGTGCAGAGGAGAAAGGAACAGCAGTTATGCTGTAAGCCATGAGATGTAACAGCCACATTAGCGTGTGATCTAGGTGTCTGGACTTTGTTGTTGTCTTGCACTGTTGGCTTTTGCAGTGAGCCCACTCTCTTACCAGCTTGTTCGCTTGGTCTTAGAGTAGGGATCTCAAAATGTCTTGCAGACCCTGAAGATCTTCTATCCCATTGCATAAATCCAGTGCAAGATGGGCAGCTTTTAACATAAGCAAAACTATAGCTGATTTGGAGTGGCAAAACAATGGTGGGAAGGAGAAATGGGAACAATGTTGCTTGAGCTGTCTCTGGAATCTTCTGGCTGCCTGCTGCACCTCCTGTAAACCCATGCAGTAGGGCTAATTTCTAATGTGTGTTGTTTGTCGTGCAGATGCATTTCCACAAGGCGTAGGAGAAGTCATTGTAGATGTGCTGAATGAAGTTGAAAAGAAGAGTTTTGTTCTTCAGGACCCAGATGATCGTATGTACTTCAGTGTATCTAACAAACTGGCATGAAATACGTGAGCACATTGCCCAGCAGGAAGAAGCTGAGCTGCCAGCTTGCTGGTTTTTTGCCATCCCTGCCCAAACAGTCCTGATTTCTGAAAAAGACCACAAAACCCAGTGTAACATGAAGGGCTTCATATTACTGACAGAACAGTCCCTTCTATGGAGGACACTGTCTATCAGAGCACAAGGTTGAGGCAGCATTACAGACATCATCAGCGTGGTGGGATTTGCTGATGAACATCTGCCAGCATCTCCAGAAAGCCCCTGGAGATAGGTTTAGACTGCAGTGTTGAATGTCTGGTTGTTCTGAACTCTTCCTAGTCCTGTCCTGGTAATGATATGAAACTTTGTGTTGGAAAAAGTACACATCAGAAAACTAATCTCAGCTAGATGGAGAAGGAAGGTTCAGAATGTCTGGCATGATTTTATCATTATTCCCTGACCAAATGGGATCAGTGTTGTCCAGCATAGTACATGTACTTCAAATGAACAGACTTCTACACTGTGCTTCTCAGTCTGATTTTTTTGGAAGTAAAGAAACTCATACTTTCCCTGAGCATGGCTGTTTTTGACCACAGATTATCAGGTGTTGAATTTCCATAGTCTTCCAGGTCTACTCTGCTACAAAGTTTCTTCACCCTTAAAAACTAATATTTAAAGGGCTTGTCTGCTGCACTGCCTCATCTTAGTCCCTATGAATATTTTACATTAAAGTTTTTATCCTGCTTATTCCTTCACATACTTTGGCCACAGGGGTCTCTTCCAGCTGAGCTTGGTACCCCTTCATTCATGCTGTCCCAGGAACTAAGGGCCTCAGTCTCATTCACAACTGTGGCATCTTGGTGCATTCTGACTTGGCAGTCAGGACACTTATTGCTGATTCTTTCTTGCTTTTGACACTAGTCTGATGCGAGTGCAAGGCATCAGACACCACATGAGACAGACTGGATGAAGTGCTGGTAACAAGCAAACACTCCCTGGCAGAACAGAAGCTCTCATTTTGCAGACTCTTATGTGCTGTGCACAGGCTCCTTTAGATTTCCAGTAAAGGGGTCACTTTTGAATGCAGTAATGATGATTGACGCAGGGGTACAGACCTCAGCTGAATCATGGGAGCTGAGCGTAAATGTTTCTCTCCTACACATGGTAGAAAATGGAGAATGTTTACATGAGACTTGTGCCTAAGTCTGAGCTGCTTTAATCTAAAACAAACACACGCAGGTAGGATTTCTGTTAGTCTTTGGAGACTTCCAGTCACTCGTCTGGTTTTAGCACTTTCAACAAAATTGAACCTTGTTCCTTTTCCTTCATTGCAGGCTAAAACCCAGGCCAGTCGGTGTCAGGTGTTCACCACAAATTCTTGATTTGTCCTAAAGGGCTTTGCAGAGATATGTTTGTTCTAACCATTTAAAGAGCAAAATAGTGTCTGTCTGGCTTAAAGACCTTTCAAGTGCCTGGAAAATGGTGTTTTCCCAGTGTGGTCTTAGTTGAATTGCATTTAAGTTCTTAGATTATTTATACTGCCTGTAGGCAAACATTATTTCAACCTCTATTGTAACAGCATCTCCTACTCTAAACCTGCTTTCAGAAACTTCTAGGAAGACTTCTGCAGCCCAAGCTGTAGTAAGTTACTGACCCTGACCGCTTGCTTTTCACCATGGTCCTGCCTGTTGTGGCTTCTTTGTCTGTTGGGGTGGAAGGAAGTAGGTTTCCTTGGTATTTTAGGAGTCTTACTGATGTGCTAGGTACACTTTTCTACAATTCATGTAGCACAGGGAAGAGCTTCTCCTTATGCAGGTGCATCTTCTTTAAGGGGCATGAGAGGGGAAGTAAGTAGTTCTGAGTGATAAACTACTGTTTTGAAGAAAACAGCTTTCATAAAGCTTTCCTGATCTTGAATCTGCAGTTCTCTCCATAGATCTGTCCCTAAAAACTGTGGTCATATGGCATCTAGGATGCTGGCTACTATCAGAGGTCCTTGCAGTTAATCCTTCATGTTCTGTGAAGTTAGTGAACTAGTAAATGTCTCTCCAAAATTAAACATTTACAGATAACTTTTCTGTTTTACAGCCAAGTTCTTTAACTCAGCTATGAAAGTGGTAAGTAGCCATTGCCTGCTTTTAACATGTTTTGTAAAGACATTTAGGTACACTTTTCTATCTGCCCCCTGAATCTAGGTTGCTGTTGCCTGCGGGTATTCCAGACCTGTTCCCCAGAGCACTTCCACACTACATCCATTTTCCTTGCTTGTCTATTCTTCTCCACCAACCTCATTTACCTTCTGTAACCTTTTATCTCCTATTTCATTTATATTTCCCAATCTGAAATTCTCCATGTTAGCCAGTGAACTGGGGACACATGAACCCTATGGGCTGTGATTTGGGACAAGTCCAGCATGAGAAACTGATTTAAGAGAGGTTGTTTTTTTTTCTGGCTTGGATCTTTAGCTTCCTCATGTCCCTTCTACTCAGTTTAACACTCTTCATACCTGCTTTTGTGGTCATGTATCACCAGAACCTTAGGCAGCAGTTTGGGTGGGGAGGGATTGCCATTAAATAAAGGCAATGAGGGGTATGCATTCATGTTTTGGCTCCAGAAAAACAATTAACCCATTGCTGTGCTAAATCACACCTTGCCTTTAAACCATCCTCTGAATATCGGCTGTCACTTTTTGGGCTGCTGTTCAGAGAAAGATGTGATAGCAGTGTTGTTTCAAGGTTGTTTTTCTCCCCCCACCCCGCAGTGTGTGAATCTCAAGGATTTGAAGCTTGCATATAGAGTGCATAGGGTTTTGGAGATGGGAGGCAGCTGGAAATGTTTGCCTGTGAATGAGCAATATGTATATTGGTGAGTGCCTTCAATATATTCAAAAGTGTTGTATGTTACCAGTATTGTGGTTGCTGTTGTCCTCTTTGGGTGTTACTGATGTGCTGTCAGTGTTGAAGTCTCAGGAGCTGCAGTGTCAATGAAGTCACAACCAGGAAATTCCAGCGTGAGTCTTGTCCTAAAGAACAAACACAGATTTGAATCGGTGGCAAAGATTCAGCCAGGCTGATTGTCTACAAGCACAGCCCTAACATTTTTGATGTATTTGTTCAGTCAAGACTGGGAGTTAAGGCATTTATATCTGTGACAGGGTAATTGGAATAGTATCACACAGGCTCCTCTAGGCCACTACAAAGTTTCCCATACTTTCCAGCCTTCCTTTTATATAGTGATCAAAACAAATTATATTACATTCCATCTTAAACTGTCTTGTACCATGGGCTTGTTTCACATCCTGACCTGGGTGTTCCCTGGTTACCTAGGTATCATCCTGGTATTGAACTATCTTGCATCTTATACAGCCATCTTGCATCATCTGGCAGGAGTGCCCATCTGGGCCATGTGCCAAGTTTTACTTGCATAAATAGTTCATGCATCAGTCAGGTATGCTGGTCAGGCCAAATCTGACTAATGCTTTAGCAAAGTATTCGTGAGAGCAGTATATATTGATGATCAGCGTTCCAGTGAGGCCTGTCAAAACCGGCCCTCATTTGCTTTTGCTTTTTTTTTTTTTAAAGAATTGGCTTACTATGTTTAAGTTATTGAGGACTCAGAATCGGAGCTATATACGCAGAGGAAGACTTTCTTAAACATCAGCTAGATTGTAGCGTGTGCAAACAAGGAAATTCTTTGGCTTGTTCCCCTTTTCCTATTCTTGACTTGAGGATGCCAAGAATGTTCTATTTTTGAATTTGTTTGGCTTCCTCCTCGAGTCATTTGCTCTTGTCATTGTTTCCTCTGATATTTTTAATGCACTGTGGTTTTCAGCATCCACTGTCTTCTCCTGACAATCCTAGTACTTGACGCCAATCGTATCTGCTGTCAGTGGTCTTTTAGATAAAGAGAAGTGGCTGGAGGTCTTTGAATTTCACTGTATGGTGTTTTCTCTGGCTCTTCCATTGTTTTCCTGTAGCTCCTCCACTCTCTTCCAGCTACGATGTGTCAAATCAGAGGACTGTTGTAGTTTTCTGGTATGAACTTCAAGAAATGCTACACACTGAGATGAGATCAGTCTTATTCCTACTCTTAACTCTGTCACTTATACATTCAAAGATTGTGTTACTTTTTTGCAGCACAACTGGGAATTTGTGTTCAGTTGTCTGCCACCATGAACCTTGTATCTCTTTCAGGACTAGCGTTTCCTCCTATAGGGATGGCCTGTGTTCACGTGCGTTGATCATTCTGCCAATCTTTTTCACACGCTTTAGCAGGAGCATTCTCACGTTTGCTTCCAGATAACTAATGAAAATGTTGAATGACATCAGACTTAATACTGATCCGCGAGCGATCGAAAGACCCAGTTTCATCTGTTTCTCTTATACCCAACCAGCTTCTCATTGTCCCCAGCTTGCCAGACAGGTATTTTTTTCCGCTGCTTGTCTGTAGCGTCTTATTTCAGTAGCTTATCACATGATATCAACTAGAAGTTCTCTTTCTTTTTGAGCCCAGTTTTTTTCTTCTGCCCTGGCGGGGGGTCGGACTTGAAGATCTATAAGGTCCCTTCCGACCCTACTTTGATGATTCTGTGATTCTTTTCCGATTTACTTTTTATTTCTAAGTATTCCCTTTTCTTTACCATTGAATCAGGATGGGCTTCTAGCCTAGGCTTTCCCCTTCTGGTTGTGGAATGGTGTCATTTTGGCATGACTGGCCTCAGGTCATCCTTTGTTGGTTTATAACGAACTCCAGCATCCATGGAGTCTTCCCTCTTTGTTCAAAAATCTTTATCTGCCCTTCCTCTCAGGGATTGGTTTCTGATCCTTATAGGCTGGTAATCCCTGGAGAGTGTCTACTCTTCCTCTGCAGAGGTACTGCCAGCTTTCATGTTACGATCTGGCATAAGACATGCTACCTGATATGCCCTCTGCCCTGATGCAGCGTAACTAATTCTCCATCCTTTTAGAGCTACCTCACAGTAGGCTCTTGGAGGAGCTGGGCCTTGGAATTAAGTTGGCCAGATCCCCATTCTTCCTCACTATTCCTACTTTAGCGATTTAGCAATTCTAGCTGTAGCAGCTAAGAAATGTCTGCCAATGAGGTTCTTGGTCGGTGAATATTGGCCATAGTAGAAATAGCTGGAGAAATGTATGAGTGACCCGAAGGAAAACCTACTGCTGTAAGTTCGTTAAAGACCTCCCTGGAAATTTTATAGACTAGAATCCAGTAACAACAAAACAATACTCGTCAATAGTATGATTGGCTTGAGTCTGATTAGTCCCTAGTTTTAAGCAAACCCAGAGATATAAATTGCCGGATTTAAAGATTAAGCACTTATTGTATCAGGCTGAATTTGTTTCAGTTGCTAAACTTCGGCTTGGTCATACTCCATCCATTTATGAAAGTTTCTTCTGCAAGTGCATGGTTTCTAAATTTGGAATATTTAAACCAGTGTGCTACAAGGCAAAATAGATAACATTCACTGAGTCATGTGGGTCTTAAGACTTTGCACTCCATTTCTCACCAGTCCAACCACACCTTGAATATCAGCCCTGAACCCCCTCACATCAAAAGTATTCATTTTGTGTGGCTTAATGTCTGACGTATTACAAGTTGTGGAAATCGCTCGCTCGCTCTAAGGAATATTGCTCTGCACAGTTAGTTCTGCAGTCTCTAGTAAATCTAATTACTGAGTCATGATAATTATTGCTTTTTTCTCCCCCATTATGTACAATACAGTGCACGATTCTTAAATTTGCTGTGCATGATGGAACAATTTGATGTCTTAATGAAGTGGTATAAAGAAATGATCCCTTCGGTAAGTTATCTTAGTGGATCTGGACAGCACTGGCATGAAATGTACTAGCCAATTGCCCATTAAGAATGACCGGGGGAGGGGAGCGGGCAGGGACAGAGCCTCCCCCACCCTATCTAGGCCTGCTCCCCCTTCCCTCCTGCTGCTTGGGGTCTGGGCCTCCTCCCCCAGCCACTGCTGTGGCTGCACTGGGCCTGGGCCTGCTCACCCTCTCCTACCCCCATGTTACCTGCAGGGTGGAGGGTACCCCCCCCCCCCAATTCCATTTGCTCTGTTGCTGCTTCCAGGAAGCAGGGGAGGGGGCCAAGGCAGCTGCATTGGCCTCACTACCCCCCACTCCCAGCTCCGTCCCCTGTGTCCTCACCATCATGGTGGCGGGCCACCTTCTGTCAGTGCAAATAAAGTGTTACGGACAGACTTAGGCTTTTATAATATTAGAATTTGTGGAAGAGTGTGGCAATCATCCTGGATTAAATTACTCTCTCTCTTCAACAGCTGATGCACCCAACTGTGAAAACAATGCAGAGTATACTTCAAGCTTTGGAGGCGGCCAACCGCATGGAAATGTTCCCGCAGATCTGGGAAGGTTAGTAGGGTGGTTTTGTCTTTGTTCTGTGGTTCTTTCATTTTCTGTGGGAAAGAGTCATCTCCTTGTGTTGGGGGTGGGGGTATAGTAACACTGTTTGCGTTTGGGGAGAACCCAAGAGTTGTGCAGTAGTGGCACCGTCATGACATTATCATGACACTGATAATGTCATGCCTCATTAGTACCCGCATCGTCCAAATGCAGGCTTATCACTGTTAAAAAAGCCTCACAATGCGATGGCCAGCACTGCATTGTGGTGGCTATGGGAACAGTGAGCAACAGGGGTGGTAGGTGTTGAACTACACAACTAGAGGGAAAACATGAATGTCCTTTGAAATTTTGACAGTGGTTGGTACAGGGACGTAAAACCCAGCTGCTGGGGGGGGGGAAATTGTAACCTATATGGGCTGGGACAAGTCAGACGGTTAAGAGGAGAGCAGGATCTCAGATCTGAGCTGTTGATTTAAATATTTAAACCATTTTCCACTCTAACCCCTCAAAAGGGAAACTTGAGGAACACAGGAACTGGCTTTAACTGCAGTAAATTCCCTGAGAGGGTTTAGTGGCTAACCACTCCTTCCTTTTGTTCAGACCTCAAGCAGTCTAATCAGAGCTTCAGACGTGAGATACTGAAGCAAGTTTTGGCTATGATGACCAGGGAGGTGTACCCACAGGAGGTAAGGGCGAGCGAAGAGATGAGTGGCAAGCACCACCCTGACTTGGTAGCCAGTTGGGGTGTGAAGGATCTAACCCTGGCTGTGTAGTAGTAGACCGTGATGTGGGATCAAACTGCATCCTGATTGGTGCTAATAGACCAATAGCAAATGCTCAGTTGTTACATATGTCAGTTCTTGCAGGAGGTGGACTTTACCATGAGCTGCACCAGTCATGTGCATGGGCATACCCTGTAGCCAGGACCCCCAGCCTGGCTACATATTCAGTTAATGGCATAATAGGAACCAGCCACAAAGTTATTGCACAAAAAATGTGTTATAATTTTGAGGCTTATTTCTTGTTTTATTACACCATTAATTGCATGAATGTGTGGCCAGGTAATGAGACCTAATTAATGAGTTGAAGTGTAACACATGCCAGGGGCTTGAGTGAAGTTTAGGGGCTTATCTGCAGTGAAGAACCAGTACCACTACAGCTATACTGGCAGAGCCCTCGAGTGGAAACTGGTGCGTGCTGACAGGGTGGCTTTCCTGTCAGTGAACTGTACACAACCTCCTGAATATCTGTGAAGTTGATAAAACCCCAATTCTGATGGCAGACCCAGGGGTACTGCCCGCGTGGGGGGATTTTTGTCAGCAGGGCTGTCAGCAAGACGATTTGAGCTCCTATTTCCAGCCCTCCCATGTGATGCACCAGTGGCGTAATGGGCATACCCTGTGGCTGAGCCCCCCAGCCTGGTAAAATGGTAGTATAGAACTGGGTAAGTCCTTTTCCCTTAAAAATAGATTGCTCTGCTTGTAGGTAAACATCATGTTTGATATCAGTAGAGTCAAGTGTGGGATAAACTTGACCCAATATGAGGATTAAATACATTTTGATCAATACAATAGACACAGGGACTTCCTAGGTTATAAGCATCATCTGCTTCTTTTTCCTTTCACTGGATGAGAGAGAAGCATGACCTGTGGGTGGGTGGGAGTTTTTTGTTGTGGGTTTTTTTGTTTTTTTGTTTTTTTCATTTGGTGAGTTTTTTTTCTTCCTGAGGCAAGTGATGCTTAGGTCCTTAACTCTTACTGACTTCCAAGGGGAAGTAGCCATCTAACTGTTATTTGAGACTTGAAGTTCTCCACTGTGAATGCTTCAACTTATGCCAATAGAGATGCTTATGACACATATTTAATTGGAAGTTGTTCTCTGTGATCTCACATGGCAGCATCCTTCCTTCTTGGTTTGACTTGCAGCGATTTGCAGGTACAGTAGTATGTTAAATTGATAGCCGTCTCCTCATACATAAGAAACTATCTCATCAGCCCTAGAAAACTTTGTTGATGATTAACTAATTGAGGCATCTTTATCTTGGTGCTAATAGAACAGTCTTTTCACAGATTCAGATGATGTTTGCTAACTGTGCTGCAGAAATCAAATCTGCCTTTGAAGCTTCAGGAATATGGACAACCAGCGTTCTGGGTGACATGGCCATAGTATTCTCCAGGGCTGGAAGAACCCAAGATGCCTGGTAGGTGCAGTTGTTAAAGTCTTGTTCTACTTTCATGCTCAACTTTTTCAACTCGGGTTTGAATCCCCAAACTTGAAATAGTACCATTGCCTTTAAACTATTACAGGTGATGTGCAGGAAGTTGAGGTTTGTGCTGTATTTTTACTTAATGCTTGCATTCCTTTTTGGCACAAAGATACAGCCTTTTACTGGATACAGTGATATGCAAGTAAATAACAGCTAGTGCAGTGTTTCCCAACCAGTGTGCCACAGCACAGCACGGTACCGTCAGAAATGAACAGTGTGCTGCAGAATTTTGCCATGGCAATGACCTACAATAGTTATGCTGTTGGGAAATGCCTCAACAGGTGTGCCGCAGACATTTTTTATTAATCTAAGTGTGTGTTGGGCTGGAAAAGGTTGGGAAACACTGAGCTAGTGTACAAAATGTCTTGCATACTTGTATGTCCATGTACCTTAATGCCAGATGTGCTCAGTGCATTTGCAAGGCTAGAGTCTGTTGACATTTTATGCTTAAAAGGTTTTTCTTTCAAGACTCCTGGCATAATACATAATTTCAAGACTTCAAATGCCCAGTCCCCATATTGGGGTGTAGTCCATATGCCATTGCAGCAGTGTAAAATCTCCCATTAATTCACTTGAATCAGTAGCTTCTGGGAACAGGCAGAGAAATAGTGGGTACTTTTATATAACAGCTAAACTTCAGTAGCGTCTTATGAAGTAGGAAGCTATCTAAAAGTTCATGCCTCTGAACCAGTTACTCCAAGCCAGTAACATTTGTATATGTATTTAGCTTTGTAAGCATCCACTTGGCACACATGCCTGCAGCTATATTTTTTTCAATATGTGAACAACCAAAAAGAAGCCTGACTAATAGGGCAGTTGTAATCTGCAGATGACAGTGATTGAATATCTTAAAATATCTGCCTTTCAAGCAGAGTTTTCTCCAGATCACAGACCATACAGAAATCTGTGCTGAGGGGCCTGTTACAACTTTATTCCCAGCCTGTGTTCACCTTATGAGTCTGATCTCATTTTGTGTTTTCTCTCCCTGGTCAGGAACATGTTGGAACAGTTAGCAAAACAGAATTGCATCCCTAGGTGAGTTCATTCAATCATTGCATTTCAGGTGGTAATTTCACTTCACACGGCAGGTGCGGTGGTGTTGCATTGTGCCCCTGGAGGTAGTGACAGTCCATAGCTTGACTCTGAAGAAGCAGAGGGGTAAATGAAGCATTTGTGTAATATCTGCATTCCTTCCAGATCGGCAGCCTTCCAGTTTTGCCTCAGTGAAAACAGGTTCTCTTTCTGCCTTCAAAATATGACCAGCCTGCAAAGATTAGTTTGAGAGCAGGGCTTGAGATTTCATCTCATGGGCTCTTTAACATGGAGGTAGTTGGGGTTCTTTCCTCCCCAGTCTTGCACCAGCCTCTGAGATGTGGAGTAACAAACTGACTAGGCTTAATAATTCAGTGTGGTGCTGGAGCCATTCTTCACTGGTGATCCGGAGTGTTGCGTCAGAGTCTTTTGAGAAACTCTAGAAAGAAACATCATTGAAATGTGGGATATTTTAATTCTTAAGCAAGACTAATGTGTTTCCCACCTTGGAAATTACCTTTTTGGTTCTCAAAGTATGTGTGGTGGTAGTTGATATAAGAGTGCATTGATCAGGACAGTGTGGGACCTCAGTTCTGGCAAGTGCATCCAGCCTGCCTTCATGCCCTTGCAGTGGGAGGTGGCTGTAGTACTAGCAGCAGCTGTTCTGCATTTTCCAGGCTATGGCCCTGTATAATCTTCCACAAAATCCTGATGCCTGCAGCTCCAACAGAAGCCTCAAGGCTGCCATGCTGTTAGAGCCCTTGTAGGGATCTCTGGACTGGGAAGAAGAAAGGGAAGTTCCCTCCTACATTTCTAACATGGCTGCTAGTCCTCAGGCCACCAGCTGTGAGCATGACATGGAAGGAGGGAGGCTGTTCTAGGAGCAGGCATTGCCTTCTCTTCAGGTGACCCATATCCAGCTCCTGTTCTCTTCACCATAGCTTCTGCTGCAGACACTCTTCTTGCCTCTCAGGAAAGTGGAGAGCCCAGTTGAGCTCTTGACTGGCATGCCCAGTAAAGAGCTTTTACACAATCAAATCTTCCCCTTCCTGTTCTCAAGGAGGCATAGCCTTATCAGAGGCTAGGACCTGGCCTGTAGTAGGACACTGGAGCAGACGGGGCCCAGTTCTTGGCAGTGCAGTAAATGAGGATAGCAGCTGGATGTGTTTATAGAGGGCTTAAAGATGACCCCCTAAGCTGCCCGGGAGCCAGCTTAGGTTCCTGGCTCTCTTTGCGTTGCGGTGAGGTGTGTCACCAACACGTTGGTGGAAACTGATGTCATCTGATGTGTCACGTGTGCCACTAACATTTTTGTGGCAGCCCAAATGCTGAGCAAGTAGTCATCGATACCCATTGTTGCGCAACATGAAAGGAAAATCAGTGGTGCAACATAGGGTGGGAATAGACTCCACCACTTTATTGCAGTGGATGTCTTGCCTGTGTTTTCCTTGCTTGGCCAGACCCATGCCCTGGGTCTAGCTGGGCAAGGAAAGCAGGAAGATCACATCGCCCCTTCTACATCGTCAAAGGTGGGACAAGGGGTGATGTGTTTCGCCTAGTGAAGAAGATCAGCTGTGATTGGCAACATCTGTTGCTAGCTGTAGAACATGGCAACTTCTTTATGGAGGAAGGGATTTTAAAAGTACCCAGGCCTACCTGCTTCAGAGGCAAAGGTTAAAACTCCCAATGACTACTAGGGGCAAAGTTACACCCAGGCTGAGTGCCTGCGGAAATCTCATCCCAGAACTGCCAAGTATCTTTCAGTGAGCCAGTGGCCCAGCATTCATCTTGTCCTTTTCCTTTGCAGTGTCCTGGTGCTGGATGAGGTCTTGAACTGCATCATACACAGCAATCTCCCTGACCAGGCCCTCAAGCTTGTAAAGATGGCTGCTGCCTTTAGTTTGCCATCCACCCCAAAGCTCGCGCGCAGGGTACTGGAGGAGTTTGAACTCTCTGAAGAACAGAAGTAAGCTGAGCTGTTTTATTGTAATAGATGATAATGCATGCGTCACCTTGGGAAGCCTTTGCCCCTTAGGCTTTCTGTAAGTGCCCCTAGGAGCTGAAAAGAGAGTTGATTGTGAACACATGCCTTCATCTTTCCTCCAGTCCTCTCATTGGAGGAAGCCCACGCTTCACTCTTCTCCCCTCCCACCCCACCCCCTGTGAAGAGGGTGGCTCAAGTCTTTGCAAGTCACATGAGCTCAGCAGTATCCATTGCCCCTTCCCTCAGCCTGCTTGCCAGTGTGGCTTGGCTCACTCTAAATATTTCCCAATTGGTGAGATGAGCAGTTCACTGTAGGCAGGGAGAAACCGTGAACTTGCCAGGGACAGCACCGGGCCTCCTCTGGGTAAGCAGAAATAAATCCCAGTGACTTTTTTTTTTTTTTTTTGAGAGGGGTGGAAATGCCTGGCTTCTGTCACGTTAAGGTAACAGACTTTCCGCTGTAAAACTGGTGAAGGGTGGTGGTGTGCTCAGGCATCCCAGGAACTTCTCAGGTGCTGCCAGCAGCAGGTGCTTCTGGTTTTTAAGAGAAACTTCTCTCAAATCATGATGCTATCTGCAAGCTCAAGTCAAGCCTGCTTAAGTGAAGCAGCTCCTCTCAACAACTTTCTGGGACCTGGAAGGAAAGGAAACCCCTTGAATCCCAGCCCATGGCCTGACTTCTGTTCCAGTCCACTTCCTTCTCTCTCCCAACAAAAAGTCACCAATTGGGAGACTGCTTCTCCTGCCAGAGGCCAGTAGTACAGACAGCTGCAGAGTAAGCTTGGTTTAGCTCACTGTGCACTGACCTCCTCCATCTCCCCTGGCACAGATGTGTTGTAACCCTCTTTAATTTCCTTCTTTGTTCTCCAGGACGTTTTTGAAGAACATTAGCGGTGATAGTGATAGTGACAGCGACAGCGACTAACGATTATCTGCCTCGCAAACAAAGAACGAGACACTTCACTGCTTCGTTCTAGAGCCAAGTGAAAGGAAGCGAGAGAACTGTGTGGGCTGTGGCAATAACCGTTTTGCATTGTGGGACAAAGGATTTGACGGACCAGTCAGACGTAAGACATAGTAGAAGCTTGTGCTGTTCTGTATGAGGATTGAACAAGTTCTCCCAGCACTTCTCTTCTGGGAACCAGCAGAGGAGTTTCAACCCTCCTACTCCAACTTTCTCCAGTGTATGGTGGGACATACTCCAATGAAGGAATGCACCACTTGTACAAACCCTACTGCTATGATTACTTTACAGACCTGCTGAATGCAGCCTCTGCTCTTGCATCCATTCCTACCACTCTGTACAAAATAATGCCAGTTTGTACTGGGTGCCTCTCTCACCCTTCCCCAGCTGCTGTTCTGGAACAGTGGGTTACAGTTGCTAGAGCTGTGATAGCTGCCATGTACGATGATGGTCTATATAGTTTGAGGCTTCCTAACGAGTAAAAATGGCTGCTCCTAGTTCAACTCTAGTCAATGCTGTGCTCTTTGCATCTTGGAAATACACACACTCAGAACTTCCCTTGAGTATGTCTTCCAAGGGACTTAAACCAACATCTGAATATCTAGGAGGGAAAAATGAGATGGGGTCTGGAGTTGTAGGACAGGCAGGGCAGCAACCTTTGAAGCTGCAGTTCTGTCTTCCTCTGCTGTGACCTTGACTACCTCTGCCTTGCAGAAGAGGCCAGGAGTGACCCTGCTTCTCGGCAGACATGTGCCCAGCTGTACGAGGCAGCTGTCCACGTTCAGCTGGTGTGACAGTTAAGCTGCTGCCTCAAGGTCAGCATTTGCCCATTCAGGCTGGGGGGAGGCGGTTCTTGATCTTTCTCATCTGGTTTTGTAGAGGATAGTTGTGAAGTGTTGCAGAGGCTCAGTCATTTCTTCCCTTCCCTAGCTACCACTGTCAGGAAAGATGGATCTCTATTAGGCTAGAGCAGTTTTTGCAGCAAGTTATCTATTATTAGAGGTAGCTACTCTGCCACATACTGCACAGGGAACATGTGGGGCTAGAGTCTTGACTCATCACAAACTTGAACACTGCAGCATCTGAAGAAACACTGGTTTTACCAGTTCTGCTATCAATAATGAACACGGGGAAGTTTTTGTTGAATATGATGGTGGTTTTAGCAAGTAAATCAGCTATTACATGCGATGGCTCACTTTAAGCAAGAAGAAGATTCAAAGGAAATTAATATCAAACACTTGATGCGTTCCTGGCTGAAAGGTGATCTAAATACAAAGCAAACAGGCTTGCATTTAAGTAACACCAAAATACTTTACACTAGGAATGCTCAGCCCCCAGCCTTCAGCATCCCATCATCAGTTCTGCCAAGCTGGCTGTAGATTTGGAAAATTGGTAGTGGGGAGCAGTGGCAGTTAACATGACTGCTGCTTAATTCCCAAGCCAGATGTAGCTGGATCAGCCCTGTGGAAGTGGGGGTGCTGGAACTGAGCCCACATACTGACCTGGCACTGCTCATCCAGCCCACAGGGCAAGTGTAGGGCTGTGCGAAATGTCAAGGAGTGTTTCGTTTCTAAGCCGTTTCGACACGTTCCAAGCTCAAAACAGCAAAATCGAAACCAAACAAAAGGCTTCAAAACAAAATGAGGGCACTTGAGATGTTTCAGAAGTTTTGAAACATTAAGTTTCAAAGCAGCCCGGAGGCAGGGGAGAGCCAGGGTTGCGCTCCAAGTGGCTCTGCCAGCCCCAAAGAGCTCAGCTCGGCAGTGGGAGAGCCGCTCTAAGCACAGCCCTGGCCAGCGGCTGTTTCCTGCTTCCCACTACCAGGCTCAGCTCTGGGGCTGTGGAGCCTCCTGCTGCCAGGCTGTACTTGCCAGGGCTCCACCACTGGCTCTCTGCAACCTCCTGAGAGCTGAAGCATGTTCATGCAGTTATTGAGAGTTTGTCCCCCTCATCTTCAGGCTCCTGCATCACTGGTCTGCTTTAGTCTCCTCCTCTTTGTCAGTTTGAGACTACTGGTTGGTGTACTGCACAGGACCTTTACTGACGCAGGGTTGCAATACTGAGCACTTAACTGCTGTAGCTACCATGTTGCTTTGCTTTCCCTGTCAACCTAATCAAATAGGCATCTCTGGAAAACATGCTGCCCATGAAATTGCCAGTTGGGTTTCCATGCTGGAGGCAGTGTCCTGCTCACAGCCCATTCATGTGTGGTATATATTCAAAAAGCAGAACTGAACAGCAGGAGTCATAGGTTGGTTTTTTTTACACCTCATTTTTATTTAAATGCACCAAGTGGCAAATCAGTAATGGTGGGTTACAAACATTATTTTGGTTGGATCACAAGCCTGATGGTTAAGACCTGGAAACAAAGTTGTTATGCATATGGCAGAGAAAGCTTTCCTGAAGTTTGCTGTCATGATGACGACAGAAACAACAAAACACAATGGGTGGTTCAGTATACAGTGCAAGGAGACAGGACGGTACCCGTGGTTGACAAACATTGCTAGCCCATGCCAATGCCCTAGAGTGCAAACTTCCTTAAACTCTTCATTTCTTTTCAGCAATTCTGTATCCAACTGCTTCCAAAACTAGACTCCTGACTCACTGCACTTGGGTTGTTCCCAAGCCCATGGCACTGGCGTAGGCAGTCAGGATTTCCACAATCTGTTTTGTTTCCAGGGTCCTTCGCGCTTCAGTCAGCCAGTCCTGCGCCACTCGCCTGGACTCGCCCTTTAACTGGTTGACGAATTTAGCCGCCAGCTCCAGGTCTCCGTGCTCAATACAATAGGAGGCATAGGACAGTAATTTAAATGTGTCCAGGTCATCGGTGCTGAGCTCAGCAGGTGGCTTCAGCTGCTGAGGGTGAAACATAAGCAGGGCCTGCAGGTAGGACAGGAAGTACTGGTACAAGCTGTTCCTGGTCTCATCAATCATGGCCACTCTTTTTGCCAGTTTTTGGACTACATAGAAGCGGGCCCGGAGGGCCTCTTCACTGTAGACTCCCCGTGTCAGTGATTCTTGAGGGAGAGCTGCTATTAAGGCTTCAGTAAATGTGTTGTCAGAACAGCTGGCTTTGATGGCCTCAACTGCACTCTCTAGTGGTTCAGTAGGGCTCTCCCCACAGGCAGTTTTCATGGTGTATTTTAAAGCTTCCACAGATAACCACAATTGATGGGCCTTCCTGGCCTCTTCCTCAGCTACTGCGTGACCTGCAACAAACCCAGAAAGAATCAGTTTATCTGGGATCAGGGCACATGGACATAAAGAGCCACACTGAGGTGGGACATCTGTAAAAGTTCTGCTCCACCCTCAGTCAGTTTAAAGCATGAACAAGGCTCATTCCCTTCCCAGGAATCAGTTGGCCATTTTTGGAAGTGTTAGAACTCGCCTGCCCTCTGCTAGATATGTATATGATCTCAACACTGAAGCAAAGTGTGCATCCTGCATATTGTTATACCCAAGTCCTACCCAATGACCAGGGAACCTGTTCCTGAAGTGGAATTCAGAAGGCAGAGATCACACCCCTCTGCCTGAAGGGCACTGGGTCGTGAAGCCTCCTGGCACTTGAGATGTCATGCCTAATGACATGCTCAGTCACCCAATCTGAGGCCATAAATTCTCAAGTCTTGGCTCTAGTTAGCTCAGGCTCACTCTCGACTGCCTGCTCAATTCCCTTCAGGCGGGCATAGGCTGTGTTTATGTCCAGAGTGAAGTTGTCCAGTTGCTCTTGCGTAAGGCGTCTGAAGTGCATTTCCTGTTCACTCAGCTTCTCAGACAAGTTCTGCAATGAACAAGTAAAAACCCTTAAGCAATGTAGCAAATCCACACAGTGACATGTGAAAAGACTCAAAGTCATGCAGCACAAGCTACCCCAACTTATCCCAGTCCTTCCCAACACATTTGGGTCTCAATGTGCAACACAGAACTGGAGATCAGGCCTTCTAGCTTATTACTATGGCGAAACAGTCCTTGCTATATAGCAGCAAGAAGCCCCCTCTCCTACAGCAAAAGCAATTACAGGAGTCATTAAATAGTGAATTTCTCTTAGTTTTCCAGTTCAACAGGACTCATTCCTTGGCCTGCTTTAAATACATACTGGAAAAATGCACTAGTAAGGCTGCTGCCCTGGAAGACTCCCACAACGTTACCCCAGGGAGCAAGGCTACCACCTAACACAGGTTCTTATCTCACCTGCTCAAACTCCAGCTTGAGCTCCTGTTCTTGAACCTTAAGGACATCTCTCAGGTGATCAGTGTGGGCAGCCGCCTGCCTGCGAAGCTGGGTTCTCATTTCCGTCTCCATTACATCTCGGACTTCTTCGATCTGTATGTGAGAAAGCACAAAGTGTTAAACCTTCACCATGAAATGTTTTGCCAACAGCAAGAACAATGTTGAAAAGAACTCGGCATTAGGTTTCTAGAGCACACATTCCTCAGATCGAGGAGATTTCTAAGACTCCAGAAACACTTAAAGAAAAGATACAGACGATTTTAAGGTTCTCTTTAAAAATATTTAAAAAAAAAAGTCCAAAGTAGGAGCACAGTTTCTAATACCAGCAATAGGCAGCGAGTATACTCATGGGACAGCTAACAGTTCCCATTCTGAAGTACAGATACTGGCTTCAACTGAAAGGCAGAAAAGGTATTGCACTACAGGGTGTGTTATTTTCTGAGCCATACACAGTATAGATGAGGTGGTCTACTGAACACTGGACCCACTCCTGCTTCAGAAGTGGCTATATGCTTTTTAAAAGTCATTAAAGAAGCTAGAAGATGCCAACAGAAACTTTTTAACTATATGCTCAAAAAAAAAATCTCTCAAGGGAGAGAGCTTTTTAACCATGATAAAAAGGAGATTTTAGTTGTCTCCCTTCCTTTGCAAAAAACCCAGAACAGACCTGACCTCACAGAACTCAGTTAAAACAGCTGGGGAAGAAGACAGTCATCAAGCCAAGATCACTCGGAACATGGTTTTGGCAATCAGGGCCCAGGGTGAAAACTTTGGTCCTAGTGAAATCAATGGGATTTCTGCAAGTGACTCTGAGCCAGGTTCTTTCCCTCTGGTGTTCAAGAGTGTTCCCAAGCAATGTATATGCTTAATTTGCCCTCTGCACTTTTCTGATCACGTGAGATATAGCCTTCCAGAAACAGTGACTCAGATCTTCTGAAAACGTTACCCTACTTGTCCGATTTGGAGCTGCACACCAAGGGCTTCAAGGCTGTAACACATTTAAGCCACTGTCATGCTATTAATTACCAATACACTACACGGCAGAAATCCCTGCTAAATACTACATGCTGGAAGATGCCAAGACAGACCAGGCTGCTCTTACCTTTCTCTCCTGCTCGATCTGGAGCTCACTTTTATGGTGCTCCAGTGCTTTTGCCACTGCAGTCTCAAGTGCTTTCTTGTTTTCCAGTTTTTGCTTGTCCAGGGCAATCTCGATGTGCTGCTGCTCTCTCACTCTGTGCTCAGCCAGTTCCCTGTTTAACTGGTCAATGCGACGAT